AAAATAAGTGTAAAGAAAAGAAACACTTCTGACCTGGCGTAGAGTAACCAGTGTCTAAGCTAGCTATTTCTTTTAATTTTGAAGTAGACGATAATAATTTATTTGTGGAATGTTTATATTGAATGTATTTCGTGCCACACGCGCGATAACCCTATCGCTATGTACTAAAAAAAAATTCACTAACTTTATTAAAGGTATTGCTTATTATTTTTTCCCGTATTTCGTAACTCATAATTCATAATTTATAATTTATATTGCGTAACGCTTGGATTTTTTGGAGAGTTTGAGAGCAAAATCAGGAAGTAAAACATTGTAATGGTCAATTTTCGGCCAATTGATCAATCGCCTTTAAAAACTATCAAGTATGTAAAAATTTTATTATTTTTTTTGTTATTGTAATAATAATCATTGTTGTAATAAATAAATTTAAAGAAACGACGCCAAGTCGTTCCAAACGAATACCATTCTATGGTAAAACGGGGGGAGTTGTGCATTGTAAATAATTTAAATTTTCTTATATGTATTAAATATTTTTAATCAATTTTAAATTAATAAATGTCACAACAAGATTACATTGTTAAAATAAATTTAAAGAAAATTTTTCAAATGACATTTCTATGCATGCATGAAAAAAAAATTATACATATTATATATAAACATTAACATTATTATTAATATAGGCATCAAACTTAAAGCAAATTTTTAAATAAAAAACAAAACAAAAAACATCCTTTTTTCATTACAAATAAAAAAAATTATTGTATTGCATACACAATTATTAACTATAAGCATTGCATTATGTTGTTTATTTAGAAGAGTACAATTTTTGACAGTCAGTACACTGTGCGACGAAGTTGCTAGAAATCAAAAAAATAGATATCCCATTACTATACGTACAATCTTTTCCATGACAATTGGTAATTGCTAGTTTAATTAAAATGAAAAGGAAGACAACTCTTCCAGCTGATCAAGTCAAACCCAATAAAAGAAAAGCATTGACTGCTTTACAAAAAAAAAATAAAAATTGTATTAAGAAAAGCAAAAAACATGAACCATCTAATGTTGAATTATCCAAAATTTACAAATGTGGTGAGTCGACCATTACTGACATATTCAAAACCAAAGATAAATGGCTAGCTGTAAATTCAAGTTACTAGTTATCGATAACGACATGAGGAATCAGAAAAGGTCATGACAATTTGGGTAGATAAAGGTTGGAATCAACTAAAATAGTCGACTAAACTTTTTTTTGAACAACTAATAGTCGACTATTTTAATCAATTATTTACTCGACTACTAATATTACGCTAATAATATTATTGTCTGACCAATTACAATTTTTGCGTTTTATCATTCAAAATGGAAAATTTCTTCGATAGTTCATTGGCTTTGAGTTACAATGATTTAAGCGGTGATTCCAGAAGACCTTTAAAAAAACAAATCATAACGCATGGTTTTGTGTGGAAGCATTTTGAAAAAGTGAAAGATTCAAATAGAAATGAATTTGTAATTTGCAAATTAAAAAAAAACGAAATATTATTATTAAAATTTAGTCGACTAATTAGTTGACTAAAATAGTCAACTAAAATAGTCAACTAAAATAGTCAACTAAAATAATCAACTAATAGTCGACTAAAGAAATTTTTGACCAACTAGTAGTCGACTAAGGATTTTTGGACGATTCCAATCTCTATGGGTAGACAATGCTTCACAAGATCTTTCTGGTACTTACCGCTGTCCAGAAAAAACCTTTTTTTTTCTGAAAAATTAGGCATGACTGATTTCAAAGGTTCAAATGGGTTGGATGGAAAGATGACTATTTTAAACCTATATTTTATAATAAATAATTATATTCAATTTTTTTCTAATGAAATTTGCTAATAAATTCGGTATACGTGTAAACCAAAATCTCTCTATAATGAACATGTGTGTCCTAAACGTTCGTTGTATAGAGGTTTTACTGTTCAATAATAGATTCGAGTTTGATGTTACATGAATCTTTTTTAGATAACAAATGATTAACAAATGAGTTAAATAATCGAAGAAATTAATTGCTTATAATTGACCAAGCTTCTAGTTTTTCTTAAATTAAAAATTGGCTGAGCCTTAGCATTTTTTTAATTTTGTTATGCCGAGTAGATTTCGCAACAATTTTTTTATTTCGTGTGTGTATATAGCACAAAATTTATTATTGCAACCAATAATAGTAAAACAATAATGAATTTCGAGATATTAAATGGCGGGCGTTTTTAATTTAACATTTGAAAAAAAAAATTAAATCATTATTACCTGTTTACTTTATTAGTATTATTTTATTTTATTTATCTGATTTAGTTTGTCATAAAGCTATTAATGATTTCTAAATTCAAAAGTTATACATATCTAGATTTTGGCTCGTTCGAAGTTCAGTTAATATTAATATTGATTATTATTAATTATTATTATCTGGAATATGGTTTCTGAAAGAAATTACAGACGTTATCTCCTTCTTTTACTGATCTTTCTAACAAATATGCCTTAAAAATTTTGCCCTAGTTCAAATATAATTATTATTGTAAAAAAATTTTCCCGATCTCATGTCTTTATGTCAGTTTCTTTCAATCAAGAATTATGTTCAATTAAAAAATTAAAGAAGACATTTATTTATTTACACATAATTCTAATATATAGAAAAAATAAACATAATAACATAATTAATATAAATAATAATTAAAACCTTTTTTTTCGTCACGAGAATTCAATCAATATTTTTTTTTTTGAAAAGAAAATGTCTTCGTTAACTCCACTATTAAATTCTGAAAAATATTACGATTGTGACATTAACACTAACGTTAACACCGAGTTTAACTACATAGATAACATAGATAACCGTGACCATTCACTTAATAAAAATAAAAAAATAAAAAAATTACATATTTTATATATTTTATTAATAATTTTTTCACTTTTTATTTTATTCATTTCAATAAATATATTCATATTCTCACCACCACCATCATCATCAACCAACAATGAGAACTCCACCAATATCGATAATTATAATAATACAACAGTTGATAATATAAATGGAACTGATTATAATGACAACGGTTTAAATGACAATGATGGAAGTGAAAAATATATAACATTTGTGCCTCATAGTGGATTCCATAATCAAAGAATAGGATTAGAAAATGCAATATTTATTGCTTGGTTCCTAAATAGAACATTGATTGTACCACCCGCCCTACTTTTAACTAAGTTTAGAGTACCATTTGGTAAAATGATTAGATTGTCAAAACGTCTAAAAGCTGAATCTGTTGATTCAGTTTGTGGAAATATAAAGATAAACAAAGAAAAAAAGAAATGTGAAGAATTTCATAGTTCATACACACTTTATCCATATGATCAACTGTTTGACTTTACATTTATCAGACAAAACCTCAAAACCATAAATACACCAAATTTTGACATTGATACAGTTATTGAAATGTTAAATATCACTGAACCAAGAAAAGAAATTTATCTCGATTTTACCACTAAGGATCGTAATCAAATGTATGACACAGGAGAAAAACCATACACTATGTCCGATAACAAAACACTTGAATCATTACAACTACTCAAGAAACGTCCTGAAAAACTTATATACTTTGGTAGTTTATTTGGATCAGGCAGAATTCGCAAAAATTTGAAATCATCAAGAACCTTCTCTGAAAGATTCCAAAAATCATTTGTACCAAGTAATCCAGTAATGTTAAATGTGGTGGCTAGTATAGTTGAAAAAATGGGTGGTGCTGGTAATTATATTTCATCTCATGCTAGAGGTGGTGATGGTAGCTTTGCAACAAAAAGTGAAGAACATTTTACTGATTTAGTTAGACAAATTGATAAAAAATATCCAGAAATTTCACCATACTTAATATCTTTGAAGAATAAATGTCCACCTATTGAGAAGAATGAAACCACAAAGAGAAAAAATTTATATGTGGCCAGTGATATTAATAGAGAATATGAATCCATGAAAGTGTTTCTGGATAAATTTCCTTGTCTAAAAATGCTCTCTGATTTTGAAGATCAACTTGAACCTTACAAAAGTCTCATAAACCCTGTAGATAATAAAGTAATGAGTCACTTTTTAATACCTTTAACTGATCTTATGATAGCTGCTAATGGCTTTGATGTATTTACAATTGGTGGCAGTACCTATGGTGGTTATTTAGGAGGATATCACGCATTCCTAAAAAAGAAATGGTGAAAAATTGATATTATTATTAGATTTGTTATTTTGTAATATAGGTTAGAAGCATATAGATATATATACATATTTTAGGAGTTTCATTGTTTTAAAGGAAAATAAAAACTAATTTCATTACATTCTTGCCATATTGATATGATATTAATGTGCTAACAATAACACTGGAAAATTTAAATTCTACTATTTATGATAAAAGAATATGAAGTTTGTTTTTGTTGAAACATTATTAACTTATTCTATATTATTTTCCATTTTTTCCAAAATTTTACATGTTTCTTACCCTGAAGGCTTCTGGAACCTCATTTAAAAGTTTACAAATTTTAGTTTCGTGAATAATACTACTAATATTATCTTCAATTTTAAAGAACAAAAAAATTTCATGTTTAAATATTCAATAATAACAATCTTTGAATATTATTATACCAAGCATGTTTGCATCTACATCTTTGATTGCTTAAACGAAATCATCTTTAATGTTTATATCAGCTCCGTCTGTTAATTTATGGAAAGGACCGCATGGTTTGTATGGAGGATTTTGAAATGAACACATGGAATGTTACTATAATGTCTCATTCATTCCATACAATAATAAATTATTATGAAATTAGAACGTTCAAGTACATGTTTGAGAAACATTTCATATAGAAGTAAAATATCTTCCATAGAATTTCTTATATTGATATATGTACGTAATATAATTTTTTTTTTAAATATCTGAATAAAAGTTTCCGGGGGATATTAGCCATTCTTTCAAAAAATAAAAATGTTTAAAAAAATTATAAAGGTGAAATAAATTATATACAATAAATTGTTAATAATGTAATATTATTTTATTCGTTTAATAATTATTAATTAGTTTCTTTTTAAATAATAATAAAGACACATCAGAACTACAACAGAAAATGTATACAGAACTATATTATTGGTTATCAATACAGACAAATTTCCAAAGTAAATTGAACGAGATAAAAAATAATTTTAATTTTAATTTATTATAAATAATTTTCCAAAACATAAACATTTATATATTTATATTACGATGTATATATTTTATAGTCCATTTTTCAATTTAATAGGTTTTCAGATTTAGTGACAAAAGTTCGTGAATCATATCCGATATCAGAGATAACACCAAAGGAACTTCACGATATGATTTCTAAAGCACCTAAACCAATAATTCTTGATGTACGTGAGAAAGATGAACGATCAAATGGAATTATACCAACAGCAATTCCATTATCACGAGGAGTACTAGAGAGAGATGTTGAAAGAAAAGTTATTAGCATGGATGAAGTTAATGTAGATAACGGAAGAAATATTATTGTTTATTGTGCAGGAGGTCTTAGAAGGTAAATTTTTTCAAGCACTTTATTGAGATTTGGATTTAGATTTGAGTTTAGTTTGGGTTTAGATTAGTTGTTGTGATTGTGGCTATTATTGAGACCAGATCATTTTTATCTTTAGTATTTTAGCAGCAGAAAGTTTAATTCGCTTGGGATACAAGAAAGAAAACGTCAAAAGTTTGACTGGAGGTTACGGTGAATGGAAAAAAAGTGGATTTGAAGTTGATGTTGATGGTTCACAAAAATCATAAATCATTTTGCTATCAAATAAAATTAATAACCAAAATTTAATATAAATTGTTGTGGTACAAAATGATTAATGCCATGTGATCATGATCACCAGGCAAAATTTTTTCGAGCCCAAGTGAAAGATTAAAAACATTAAGCCGGCAGCAAATAAGCCACCAGCAAAAGCCAGGTAAACGTTTGATTGCTAATACCACGATTCTTTTGCTGAGTAATAGAAACTTTATTCTTTTTACCTCATTTAGTATAATAAACCAGATCTTTGAGTTTTTTTGCTATACGTTCATTATCCATGGAGCCAATTGGTTGGCCGTTTCTAATAAATCCAAGTTTAATTCTGGGTAATTTTACTCAACTGCAGAGTTCATAAAATTTATTAATACTAATATATTCTTGTAACAATTATTCCGTTCGGTTTCAAATTAGGTTGTTTAGGTCTGACAATTATGTAACCCCTTCTGGTAGGATTTCCCTTATTAGAAATACTTTGCTTCTTTCACTAAGGATTCTCCGTGACTAGCTCGAAAAATTTTCCCATTTCAATATTGTACAGCGCAAGTCACCTAAAAGTTGAAACTTTTATTGATCTTGTAGATCTTTTAATTCCTCTAAAAAAAAAAGGAAATGCATCGAAATGAAAGAACAAAATTTTATTTTGTTGATACCTCATGTCTTCCCATCATGAAGCTCAAAGTTGCACGATTTTACTATTACTATATTTTAAGATTTGGAGCCACGGTTCAAGCTTCACGGGTTGCTTACGTTTTGATGTAAAATTTAATGTTTCATAGCTTGAGTAATAAAGAAAACAAACAAAAAAACAGTTAGATTTGGTTGACTTAATTATCATACGAAAGTCTGAGTTTGCTGATTTGCATTAAATAAAGGTCAAAGTTTATATTTAAAGGCGCAAACATATTGTCGAACTATAACTCATGGAACTACGACACGACTATGTCGTAACTTGTCGTAACTCTTGGAAATATTTTCCTTATACCAACCTGAATTAGGTAAATCAAAAAATAATCTAGGTACAGCAAAACAAAATCATGGAAAACCCCATACTCTCAACGTAGCAAAATTTGCCCTTAATTTATTTATAATTCTATTACTACAAGTTGCCTGCCTCGGTTACATTAAATCCTCTATACCCAATCAAAATAAAGAACGAGTCGGTTTAGTGTAACTGAGGTAGGTGTGATAAGAGATTTTCTACAAGTTTTATTTCATATATATACAATAAAACCTTTATATGACGAAACGTTTATCTGGGACACTTATATTCGTTGTAACGAAGTTCCGGTACACACGTATACCGATTTATTAGTAAAGAATCAACCAATTTCATTATGGAGAAAATTATTTATTGAATATAAAAAATAAATTAAATAGTCAGCAAGCATATGATGTGGATTGAATTGACTATTCTGTGGTATTTTCAAAGAATTCCATGAACAACCGATAAATCTTTATTTGTAACTCCAAATTCATCATCTTGTTGCTCCAAAAACAAAAGAGTGTTTCCAAAATTTTAGTAGCCTCAATATAACTAATGCAGGGTTCTGGTTCTATTTCTGACTCGTCAGAATCTGATAAATTATTTACTTTGTCTGGAACAGTTGTCTTTCTTTTCATTTTAATTAAAAAAAATTTTTTACTTAATGTCATTATTTTGTGATCACATGTTTAAGCATAATGCCCTAATGCCGTAAATACCGTAAATGCTGTAAATCCTAATATCATAGTAGTACTGTAACACCTAATACCAACATAGAAAAATTTTCTCATGAACCTTTAATAATATTAAATGTCTTTTTTATCAATTCAATTAAACATAACATAAACATACTAATGTAGGTTTTAAACAACAGTGAGTGATAATAAATATTTATAGAAATAGTTATATTATAGAAGTGATAAGTTTTTTCTTAACAAAATATTTTTCAATTATTAAAAGAAAAAAATGAGTTTTATGAATTCTGTCAGGTCGGGCATGTCAAGTAATCATCAAAGCAATGGTCAAAAAGATGTCGTAAAGAATCAATCGTTTGGAAGCATTTTTTAAAGAAACAATAGGAGATGGCCACTTCTCTGTCAAATGTCATTATTGCGCAGAAGCTTGGTCTAGAGGGAAACCTGAACTTTTGAAAGGGCATCTAGCTTTACATTGTTCTGCAGCGCCAACTAATGTGAAACTTGAATACATGCAAATACTGATAGAACAATTTTCAAGTTCTAATAAAATATAGAAGATAAATTCATCTCATAATGTTAATTTTGATGCAATTTTTTCTGAAGAATTGCTAGAGTAAATTTTTTTGGGAGAAATTTGAATTTTTAATTGTTGTAAAAATAATGATAAATAATAAATAAACCATGTTTCATATTAATATATAGACATGATGCCATTACTATTACACATGTCTTTTATTTTCTGGTATTTACTATTACGATATTTGCGGTATTTACGGTTTTACGGTTTTACGGTTTACGTTATTTACGGCAAATAATACGGCACATGCCGTAACCGTATTATTTTTGTTTGGGAATTCCGACGACAAGTATAAGTGGGAAGATTTGGTGGACTTTTTTTTATTATAAAACTTACCCTGGGAAGATTTGGCAGACAATGTAAAGTGTATATAGCGA